TGTCGTGGTGGGCGCCTGTAATCCCAACTGCTTGGGAGGCTGAGGCATGAGAATCGCTTGAACCCGGGAGGCAGAGGTTGCAGCGAGCCAAGATCGCACCACTGCACTCCAGCTTGGGTGCCAGAGCAAGACCCTGTCAAAAAAAAAAAATAAAAAAACAATGTGTGACTTCTGAGGCTAGGTCATAAAAGACATTGTGGCTTCTGCCTTGTTCTCTCGGATCACTCCCTCTAGGGAAAGCCATTAGCCATGTTTTAAGGACATGTAAGCAGCTCTATGGAGAGAACTTCATGGCAAGGAACTGAGACCTCCTGTGAACAGCCAGTACCAACTTGCTAGTCATGAGTGAGTCATCTTGGAAGCAGATCATCTAGGCCCAGTCAAACCTTCAGGTGACTTCAAAGTAATAAGAGACCCTGAGCTTGAGCCATCCAGCTAAGCTGCTCCCAAATTCTTGACCCACAAGAACTGTATGCGATAATAAATACTGTCATTTTAAGCTGCTAAGTTTTGGGATAATTTGTTACACAGCAATAGTTAACTAATATACCAAACTTATATTGATTCAGCTTATGTTTATTTATCTATCAAGAGAGGGTCTCACTCTGCCACCCAGGCCGAAGTGCAATAGTGTGATCACGGTTCACTGTAGCCTCAACCTCCCAGGCCCAAGTGATCCTCCCACCTCAGCCTCCCAAGTAGCTGGGACCACAGGCATGTGCCATCATGCCTGGCTAATGTTTACATTTTTTGTAGAGACAGGGTCTCCTTATGTTGCCCAAGCTGGTCTCAAACTCCTTGACTCAAGTGATCTGCCTGCCTCAGCCCAAAGTACTGGGATTACAGTGTGAGCCACCACACCTGGCCCAGTGTATGTTTATACAGAAAATATGTATATTTACATCATTAAAATCTTATCTATATTTTTAACAAAGTAATGTGCATTTAAAGCTTCAAATTACATTCCAAATAGAATTGATAGAAAATTACTGAGTGCCAGCCTGGCTGACATAGTGAGACCCCCCTGTCTTTACAAAATAAAAAATTAGCTGGGCGGGGCAGCTCATGCCTGTAGTCCCACCTACTTAAGAGGCTGAAGTGGGAGGATCGCTTGAGTACAGGAGGTCAAGGCTGCAGTGAACCATGATTGTGCCACTGTACTCCAGCCTGGGCAACAGAGCAAGACCCTGTCTCAATCAGTCAATCAATGGAAAATATATTAAGTTAATGATTTCACACAGAATATCCAATTTTCATGAAACAGATTACTGATGTTAAGTGGGAAATGCCTATATCCAGAATCTGACGACTTATCACCTCCACAACTACCACTGTGGTCAAAGCCACCAGTGTCACTCTAGGAGATTGTTGTAGTAGTCTCCTATCCAGTCTCCCCTCTTCTGCCCTTGTCCCTGCATAATCTGTGCTTCTTACAGCAATGTGATTCTCCTGATACAAAATTCAGGTCATGCAGTTCCTCTGCTCACAACTCTGCAATGGTCCCACCTTACTCAGTAAGAAAGCCAATTTCCTCACAGTAGTGCACAAGGCCCCACTCAACATAACTCCTTCCCCATTACTTATTTGACCTCATCTCCTATCCTTTTTCCCTACTAACTGTGATTCAGTCCAGTCACAATGACCTCCTGGCTTTCCTTAAGCCTCCTGGGCACTTTCACTTTAGAACTTTGCTCTTGCTGAACTTTCCCCCTGCACCCCACTTGACCTACTCCATTGCCTGGGCTAGTTATCTATGTGACTCAGTCCCTTACTTCCTTCAGGTTGCTATTCAAGCATTACCTTATCAATATCCCTGCTCTTTACCCCTCTTGCCCTGCTTTATTTCTCTGGATTGAAGGTTACCTGCCACAAATTTAAGCCACATGCAGAAGGAGTTCTATTTTTTTTTTTTTTTTGAGATAGAATAGTGATGTGATCACAGCTAACTGTAGCCCTGGCCTCTCAGGCTCAAGTGCTCCTTCCACCTGAGCCTCCTGAGTACCTGAGACTACAAGCACGTGCCACCACACCTGGCTCATTTTTTAATTTTTATTTTTGTAGAGATAGGGTCTCAGTATGTTGTCCAGGCTGTTCTTGAACTCCCGAGCTGAAGATCCTCCCTCCTAGGGCTCCCAAAGTGCTGGGATTACAGGTGTGAGCCACCACATCCAGCCAGCAAACATCTTTGGGAGGGAGATCTTTTTTTTTTTTTTTTTTTTTTTTGAGATGGAGTCTCTGTCGCCCAGGCTGGAGTGCAGTGGTGTGATCTTGGCTCACTGCAACCTCTGCCTCCTGGGTTCAAGCAATTCTTGTGCCTCAGCCTCCTGAGTAGCTGGGATTATGGGTGTGTACCACCGTGCCCATCTAATATTTGTATTTTTAGTAGAGATGGGGTTTCACCATGTTAGCCAGGCTAGTCTCAAACTCCTGACCTCAGGTGATCCATCGGCCTTGGACTCCCAAAGTGCTGGGATTACAGGCATTAGTCACAGTGCCCAGCCGAACTTGTGTTTTTATCCCTCAGGCAATTAAAAAAGAAAAATGGAAAGGAAAACTGAAAGATCTCTGAAGAATGCCCAGTTCCATCACATCTATCATGTGGCCTCTGGAAATCCCTGCCCGTGGGGAAGACTTATCATTGGTAGTAGTCAGGTGTTCAGGAACAATGGCTTTGAGGTTAGAAGGACCTGGATTAACCTGGCCTGGTATCAGTTTTCTCATTTATAAAATGGGATAGTAGTATTGATTCTTTGGGTTGTGGGAAGATTAAATGAAATAATCCATGTAATTTGATTACATACTCAGCTGCTCCCATTAGCACATCCTGATTATTCTTACTTAGCATTCAGTCCATGTGTGACTGCACTTATAATACCACATGAATCCAGTGGTCTGTGCCATGTAAATCAGGCCTCTGAGATTTTGCTCAGCTTACAATGGCATATGGGCAAATATGCTTCTGACCTTGCAAAGCCAGGTGGGCCCTAGCCTGAAGTGACTCACCTTCAGGCTAGGGCTGTCTATAGACAGTTGGGAGTCAGGTCAAAGAGCTGTCTTATAGATAGCTGGGAGTTCCTCCAGGCTAACTGGTTGTTCACTGGCTCTGGAGTTGCAGGAATAGACAACTGGCTCTCTGCTGCTCCTGGAAGTCTCTCCTAAATTAAACTCCTTAATTAGCCAGCTGTGGTGGCGGGCGCCTATAATCCCAGCTATTCAGGAGGCTCAGGCAGGAGAATCGCTTGAACCCAGGGGGCAGAGGTTGCAGTGAGCTGATATCACGCCATTGCACTCCAGCCTGGGCGAAAGATCAAAACTCTGTCTCAAAAAAAAAACAACAAAAAACTCCTTGGTCTGCCACATGCCACTGCTCTGTGACCTTGCACTTTTGGTTCAAAGAACCAGACAAGGTCTACAATAGCTTACTTATTCTGTCCTCAGGGCCCACTCTCCACTCATCCCTTGTGGGCTTTAGCTGACTAAGCCCAGAGTGGCTGAGTGGTACCCAGCATGGTACGTGCCTGGGGAAGGGTTGGCGGGGGCAGGATCAGCTGGCCAGAGCTAGTGGATACTTCCTTCACAACAGTTCTCCTGCCACCTGAGATCATACAGTATCTCAGCATCTCCTAGGTCAGTCTGGGGTCCAGCCAGAGGCCTGATGAAGCAAACAGCTCTCTGTATACTTACTCTGGACACTCAAACAGGGAGGCTGAGTGAATCACAGCAAAATCCACCCCAACCCCCACTGGAGCCACAACTGAGCAACTGAAGCTCCTGGGAGGCTAGAATTGAAGAAGTTAGGCAAAGGAGGTCTCTTAGAACCAGCCCCAGATGTCCCTTCTTAGGGGACCCTTCTCAGAAGCCCCAGGCCTTGCTTTTCCTAAAAGTGCCCTGCTATGCCTGTGAGCAATGTCACCAAACAAGTTGGCTCAGTCAGCCCTTTTAGTGTGCCTCTCTCACTCAGGCAGCCCTGGAGCCAAGAAGGCCTTCAGGAGCCACTCCCTACTGACTCCCTACCACTCCTGTTCCCTCTTCCTGCTTGGATAGCACTTCATTTCACCTTAACCCTTTGGAGTGGTCTGTCTGGGAAGGAGGTGCCAGGATACAAGATGTGTGGCAGACAAGGCCCAGGTTCGAGACTGTGCTATGGCTGCTTCAGCAGGATGCCTACTCCATGCTGAGATCATAGTCTGGTCCTTGTCACTTCTGGCGGTTACTTCCCTCCCTGACAAAGGGTGCTTACCCTCCCTCTGCAAACTTGTGCCCAGAAAGCGTGGCTCACCTAGTACAAGGGACAACCCAGTTGCACCAGACAAACTGGTGCAAAGTCCAGCTGGGCACAGTGGCTCATGCCTGTAATCCCAGCACTTTGTGAGGCTGAGGCAGGCAGATCACCTGAGGTCAGGGGTTCGAGACTAGCCTGGCCAACATGGTGAAACCTCGTCTCTACTAAAAAAATACAAAAATACAAAAAATTAGCTGGGCGTGGTAGAGCATGCCTGTAATCCCAGCTACTCGGGAGGCTGAGGCAGGAGAGTCGCTTGAACCTGGGAGGCAGAGGTTGCAGAGAGCTGAGATCACACCATTGCACTCCACCCTGGTCAACAAGAGTGAAACTCTGTCTAAAAACAACAACAAAGCAAAGCCCCAAGCCCTTTCCAGGTGCTGCCCCGCTCATCCCAGTCACCTCTGTTGCTTTTTGAGAAGACTCTACCGGCCGAATATGTGTTCGTTTGTTGAGGGGTGGGGGTGGGGGGTGGGGAAGAGTCCTACCTGGCCACTGCCCCCTACCGGACCTCGCCCTCCCAGCCTAAGTATGGGTTCCAGATCTCGCCTTTTGTATTCCCCAGCTGGGGGCCAGCCGGCTGAGGGACCCCAGGGAGACACAGTCTTCCCATTGCAAGCGATAGCGTTGATGGCCGTCTTCAAGCCCCTCCCTCCAAAGATGACAGCTCTCCAGTCTCTAGGTGCCTCCAGGCCACGTGGGCTGGCAGTCAACTCACCTGTTTCTCAGAGGGGCCCAAGACGCACAGAAGGTGCCGGTCACTGCCCTCTGCCAGAGCCCTGGGGGGGTAAGGGTGTCCGGCTGGGCCCGGCCTGAGGGCACAGCTTCGCGGGGCCCCGGCCCCCTGCGTACACAGACATGGCCACAGCGCAGGCACCGCGCCCTCCCACCGCCCTCACCCGGCCGCCAGTGCAGGAACACAGCTTTCTCCGGCCTCTCGCAGCCAAGGCCCAGCTCCAGCCGCACAGCCCGACCCGGCCCGCCCCCGGAGTGCATTGTGGGAAACGTAGTCCTTAGCGCCCGGCCGCTTGCGGCGCCGCGGGACTGGCTCTGGGTTCCTCGTCCCAGCGTAGCTGCGGGCAGGTCCTGACCCGCGTCCAGGATTGCCTCACCCGGCGCCGCCTTCTAGGGACCTGGGCGCCTCCTTAGAGCCTAGAGCCTCACACAGACCGCAGACCTGGACTCTGGGCCTCACCCTCCGAGCCAGCTAGCAGTTCATTTCAAGGGAGAGAAAGGGACGTTAGGGTTGTTTCTCCCACTGATTGTGGAAGGACAGTGCAAGTTTGAGGGACTGGATAAATGACATCAGTGGGCCCAGCCACACAGGCTGTAAAGGATGTGGGCATGCGCAAAAGTCGCACTAATTGTTTCTAAAACCGTATTTGTAGCCACGTTTTAATGTATCAGTATAATGCTCTAGAACGGTAGTTCTCAACTCTGACGGCACACAGAATATCCCTGGAAGCTTTAAAAAAACAAAACAAAACAAAACAAAAACTAGGACGGGCGAGGTGGCTCACGCCTGTAATCCTAACACTTGGGAGACCGAGGTGGGCGGATCACTTGAGGTCAGGAGTTCCAGACCAGCCTGGCCAACATGGTGAAACCCCATCTCTACTAAAAATACAAAAACTAGCCATCTTTGATGGCTGGTGCCTATAGTCCCAGCTACTCGGGAGACTGAGGTGGGATCCCAGGAGGTCGAGGCTGCGGTGAGCCGTGATCATGCCCCTGCCTTCCAGCCTAAGCACCAGAGCAAGACCCTGTCTCAAAAACAACAACAACAAAAAACCAATGCCTGGACACCAGCCCTAGAGATTTTGATTTAATTGAATTTAGAGTAAGGTGGAGTGTTGGGGAACCAGGCATCACTATTGTTTTAAAAGTACCCCAGGGGATTTGCCATTGCAAAGAATCATTATTTGTAATTTCCTAGATGCAAAGCAATAAAAACAACAGGAAAACAGGCAACAACAGGCTTTCCCAAAAGGCCCTTATTTTTAGAGATGGTTTTAAAAAGCAAAAATTAGGGATTGGCCCACTGCTCATGTTTTTTTCTGAAGCAATTAATTCACTTTACAGCCTTATGGTTTATTCTCCCAACAGTTAATAGGATGAAAGAAAAAGTCAAATCACTCCTCTGACTTTCCCTCCTGCTCCACAAGCACCTGGGGGCAGTGTCCTGTCCCTCTCTGAGCCCTACACTGGAGTTACGGTAGAGCTCCGTCCTTGGGCTTTTCTTCCAGTCTCACATGGCTGCCACCATAGCCTGCTTCCGCAACACTGACCTGTGACTGGCATGGTGACAAAGCTGTGGCCTTTCACTGAAGATGGCTTTGCATAAGGCTATCAAGTTCTTGCACATAGTCTAAGGGAACCTTTCTCAACCCCCTGTCCCCCACTTTTAGGTAAGGACATAAGAAAATGCCCTATTCCTTAACTGAGAGTCTCTCCAGGTTTCCACAGGTCACTCAGTATTTTATCTCCTCATTAGCTCAGAAGTCCACGTTCCCTCCCTTAGGGCAAGAATCATTTATACAGTTTTTTTCTCTAATTATTACACTATAAGAGTTTGAGCCATAAGCTGGGCTTGGTGGCACAGGCTTGTAATCCCAATTACTCCAGAGGCTGAAGCAGGAAGAATTGCTTGAGCCCAGGAGATCAAGTCTGAAGTGAGCCATGATCATGGACAACAAGAATGAGAGAGTCAAGAAAGAAGGAAGGAAGGAAGGGAGGAAGGGAGGGAGAGAGAGAGGGAGGGAGGGAGGAAGAAAGGAAAGAAGGAAGGAGAGTTTAAGTCAAGATATAACATTCTCTGCTTGGTACAGAAATGTTCTGAGTATATTCCTTTTCTTTTTCTTTCTTTTTTTTTTTTCACTTTAGAGATGGTGGTTTCATTATGCTATGTTGACAAGGCTGGTACCAAACTCTTGGCCTCAAGCAATTCTCCCATCTTGGCCTCCCAAAGTACTGGGATTACAGGGCATAAACCACCATGCCTGGCTAATATCCTGCCTGTATTTCATTAACTTGAAGTTACACCCTATAGAATTCATCTCCATAGAAGACTAATTTAATTTAATTTATTTACTTATTTTTTTTGAAACGAAGTCTCTCTCTATCGCCCAGGCTGGAGTGCAGTAGCTCCATCTCAGCTCACTGCAACCTCCGCCTCCCAGGTTCAAGCAGTTCTCTGCCTCAGCCTCCCGAGTGGCTGGGATTACAGGCATCTACCACCACGCCCAGCTAATTTTTGTATTTTTAGTAGAGACAGGGTTTCACCATCTTGGCCAGGCTGGTCTTGAACTTCTGACCTTGTGATCCACCCGCCTCAGCCTCCCAAAGTGCTGGGATTACAGGTATGAGCCACTACACGCGGCCCAGAAGACAAATTTAAAAGTTTTCTTTTTTTTTTGTGTTGTGTAGTTTCGCTCTGTCGCCAGGTCTAGGTTGCTCAGTGGTGCGATCTTAGCTCACTGCAACCTCCGCCTCCCGGGGTCAAGCAATTTTCTGCCTCAGCCTCCAGAGTAGCTGGGTGTGCACCACCACGTCTGGCTAATTTTTGTAAGTTTTGTATTTTTAGTAGAGATGGTGTTTCCCTATGTTGGTCAGACTGGTCTCGAACTCCTGACCTCGTGATTCACCCATCTCAGACTCCCAAAGTGCTGGGATTACAGGTATGAGCGACCGTGCCTGGCCAGTTTTTTGTTTTGTTTTTTTGAGACAAAGTCTTGCTCTGTCACCCAGTCTGGAGTGCAGTGGTACTATCTCAGCTCACTGCAACCTCCACCTCCCAGGTTCAAGCGATTCTCCTGCCTCAGCCTCCCGAGTAGCTGAGACTACAGGCATGCACCACCACGCCTAGCTAATTTTTTTATTTTTAGTAGAGAAGGGGTTTCACCGTGTTGGCCAGGATGGTCTCGATCTCTCAACCTTGTGATCCACCCACCTCGGCCTCCCAAAGTGCTGGGATTTTAGGTGTGAGCCACTGCACCCAGCCAATTTTTGTATTTTTAGTAGAGACGCAGTTTCACCATGTTGGCCAGGCTGATCTCGAACTCTTGATCTCAAGTGATCCGCCCGCCTCAGCCTCCCAAAGTGCTGGGATTATAGGTGTGCGCCACTGCACCCGGCCTAATTTTTGTATTTTTAGTAGAGATGGGGTTTCACCATGTTGGCCAGGATGGTCTCAATCTCCTGACCTTGTGATCCGCATCCACCCACCTTGGCCTCCCAAAGTGCTGGGATTACAGGCGTGAGCCACCACGCCCGACCAAATTTAAAGTTTTCTACCTAACTAGTTCTTGACAGTCTCCATGTTGACCTCAGGATTTCTTCCAGAATCTTACTATTCCTATTAAGCACATCAGTTCCACGAGATAGTACCACTATCATCTGGAAGTATTACATCTACTTAGCTAAGCAAGTGGCCATATATCTCATATATTTCTTGCTAAGACTTGTGCCTAAGACATTCTCATAGACCAAATCAAGGTGGCTACTTACTAAAACATCTTAGGTTATTACTTAAAACTTTGTTTTAATCCACCTTTTTTTTTTTTTTTGAGACGGAGTTTCGCTCTTGTTGCCCAGGCTGGAGTGCAATGGTGCGATCTCAGCTCACCACAACCGCCGCCTCCCGGGTTCAAGCGACTTTCCTGCCTCAGCCTCCCGAGTGGCTGGGATTACAGGCACGCACCACCACGCCTGGCTATTTTTGTATTTTTAGTAGAGATGGGGTTTCTCCATGTTGGTCAGGCTTGTCTCGAACTCCCGACCTCAGGCAATCCACCTGCCTTGGCCTCCCAAAGTGCTGGGATTACAGGCGTTAGCCACCATGCCCAGCCTTCTTTGTTTTTTGAGTCAGGGTCTTACTCTGTCACCTAGGCTGCAGTACAGTGGCTCACTGCAGCCTTGACCTCCTGGGCTTAAGTGATCCTCCTACTTTAGCCTCCTGAGTGGCTGGGACCACAGTTGTGTGCCACCACATTGGGCAAGTTTTAAATTTTTTGTAGAAATGGCATCTCCTTATGTTTCCCAGGCTGGTCTGGAACTCCTGGGCTCAAGCAATCCTCCTACCTTGGCCTCCCAAAGTGTTGGGATTACAGGTGTGAGCCACTGTGCCTGGATTTTTTTTTTTTTTTTTTTTTTGAGACGGAGTCTGGCTCTGTCGCCCGGGCTGGAGTGCAGTGGCCGGATCTCAGCTCACTGCAAGCTCCGCCCCCTGGGTTTACACCATTCTCCTGCCTCAGCCTCCCGAGTAGCTGGGACTACAGGCGCCCGCCGCCTCGCCCGGCTAGTTTTTTGTATTTTTTAGTAGAGAAGGGGTTTCACCGTGTTCACCAGGATGGTCTCGATCTCCTGACCTCATGATCCGCCCGTCTCGGCCTCCCAAAGTGCTGGGATTACAGGCTTGAGCCACCGCACCCGGCCTGGATTTTTGTTTTTATATAGAGACAGTCTCAATATGTTGCCCAGGCTGGCCAGGAACTACTGCGCACAAGCCATCCTCCCACATCAGTCTCCTGAGTAATTAAGACGACACACCCAGCAAGGATACACTTTAGCTACAACCTTGTAGCACCTCAGGTTCTAACATCTTCACTAAAGCTAGAAAAGAGAGGAAATATGGGGAAGAACACATCTAATTGTTACATTTCTTCAGCCTTCACTTTTCAGCTATGGCAAGTTACTTAACCTTTCTGGGCTCGGGTTTCCTTAACTACAAAAGGGGAGGCTGGGCCCGGTGGCTCATGCCTGTAGTCTCAGCACTTTGGGAAGCTGAGGCAGGTGGATCACCTGAGGTCAGGAGTTCGGGACTAGCCTGGCCAAGATGCTGAAACACTGTCTCTACTAAAACTACCAAAAAAATTAGCTGGGTGTGGTGGTGTGAGCCTGTAATCTCAGCTACTAGGGAGGCTGAGGCAGGAAAATTGCTTGAACCCTGAAGGCGGAGGCAGAGGTTGCGGTGAGCTGAGATCTTTCAGCCTGGGTGAAAGAGCAAGACTCCATCTCAAAACAAACAAACAAACAAACAAACAAACAAAAAAAACGGTGGCTCATACCTGTAATCCAGCACTTTGGGAGGCTGAGGCGGGTGGGTCATAAGGTCAAGAGATCGAGACAATCCTGGCCAACATGGTGATACCCTGTCTCTACTAAAAATACAAAAATTAGCTGGGTGTGGTGGCACATGCCTGTTGTCCCAGCTACTCAGGAGGCTCAGGTGGGAGAATTGATTGAACCGGGGAGGCGGAGGTTGTAGTGAGCCGAGATCGTGCCACTGTACTGCAGCCTGGCGACAGAGTGAGACTCCGTCTCAAAAAAAAAAAAGGGGGAAAATATCATGCAGTTATTACAAGGATTAAATGAAATCATAGATGAAGTGCCAGCACCATGCCAGGCACATGGTGTGATAAAGTGTAGCAATTATTATTACCCCAGGAGATTAGGCTTAAACCAATAATAATTAGTTCCTTAATATGGTATACCTCTTAAGAGGATAAAGTATTATCTGAT